TAAACTCTTTAAAGGCAGAGTCTCACTATGCAGCCCTGGCTGGCCTGGAACTCGCTAGGTAGACCATGCTGGCCTCACACTCATCCACCTGCCTTCTGCCTCCCTAGTGTTGTGATTAAAGGCATGTGCCATCACATCTGGCTGCACTCATATCTTTGTGGCATCTCTGAAATAATTAACTTTTTTGGATAAATGAATAAGTCTTCTAAAAATAATATATTTTAAACAAAACAGTCTTCAGATGGGGCAAAGTTACTTTTAAAACAAGGCTTGACATAGTGGCACAGATCTGTAATCTTAGCACTCAGAAAGCAGAGGTAAGAGGCTTTCTACAAGTTTAAGGCTAGCCTGCACTATATAATGAGAGACTATGTCTCAAAAATTCTAGCTAATATACACATATATGCTAGCCCACACTATATAATGAGACTATGTTTCAAAAATTCTAGCTAACACATATATATGCAAACACAAAAGGTAAAATGTTGTAATATAATTAAGAATATAGGGGCTGCTGAGCTGCCTTAATGGGTAATGGAGCTTGTTGCCATGCCTGACAACCTGAGTTTGAATTCTAGAATCCACAAGGTGGAGAGAACCAACTCCTACAGGTTGTTTTCTGACCCCTACCTGTATACCAAGACATGCCCCTCACAGTAAACAAATGGTTACAAAAAATAAAATGATGTATTTTGACATTTAAATGGATATCCTCTGTTTGTGTCCTCAATTCCCCCGCAACGACTATTTATTTACTTCCTTGTTATAATTAGTAGATAAAATGCTACAGAATTGGAGGTTTTAAGGCTGTATTTTGCTTAATTAATAATTTCTTCATTTGAACGCTACCACTCTGAATGCTACAATTAAGGCTACAGATTCTCAGGTTAATTTGGGGGCAGATCCAAGCCTTGTAGGAACTGAACATTACACAATTCAGAGCTATCCTTAAGAAAAATAAATAAATAAAGAAGAACAAAACCAGTACAAACACTGAAGGAGGTACAAAATATGATGCTTTAATTTAAAATTTAAAATAGACCACAAGTCACATATTTAAAATCCTTACAATAATATTTAAACTTAACCACAGGATAGGCCTGCGGCATTTCTTTCCTGACTGCTTTGGATATATACGCTTTTATTTCTTTTGCATATGATCAAATTTTTTTTTCATTTTTGGTTTAGAAGGGTTTCTTTCCTGGTGCACAACTCACTATTGGGAATGTTATATACATTTTAAATTTTTTTGTTGAGTATGGAAAATCTGTATGAACTTTTTTCAGATATAAAGAATAAAGGTGTAGGAGGGTTTTTTTTCCCCCCATCCTAATTCTGTATCCATAGATTTCAAAGACTGACCATCTATTTCCCTGCTCCGTTGTAAAGTATGCATTTATTTGATGATATGATTTTTAAAAAATATTTTGTTTTTATTTTATGTGTGTAAGTACATTGCCTGCACACATATAAGTGCACCCATATCGTGAATGCCTACAGAGGTCAGAAGAGGGCATTGGAGCCTCTGGAACTGGAGTTACAGATGGTTGTTAGCTGCCATGTGGGTGCTGGGACTCAAACCCAGGTCCTCTACAAGAACACCCAGTGCTCTTAATCCCTGAGTCATCTCTCCAACCCTGATATGATTTCTTATCCTTGATCTTTGTGTTCCAAGCCTAACTAACTAACTGAGCACCAGTGATATGTGTCATTAGTATAGCGGGCTGCAAATGCCAAGGAACACATCTATTTACTGAATTGCAGGAACTCAACTTCCTCTTAGTCAGATCCCTCAACTAAAATGCCCTCAACTCTTCTAGTTCTTCTCCCCATGATGGGGATTGTGACAAAGGAGAAGTTAGAATGAAGAGGAACATCTTGTCTTAGTGTGGGCTGCTCTAACAAAGTATCAAAGACTGGGTGGACATAAGCAAGGGAAACTTATTTTTCACAGTTCTGGAGACTGGAAGTCCAAGATCAGGAGGCCAGCATGATTGAGTTCTGGTGTGGTTCTCTTTAGGTTGCAGATGGTCATGTTCTCTTTGCATCCTCATGTGTTAGAAAGAAGGGAAGAGGGCACTCCCCTTGCCCCCACCATTGTTTTTCTAATCCGACTCATGAGAACTCTACAAGATTTCATCTCCTCCCACAGGCCTTACCTCCTAATATCATCATATTAGGGGTTAGGATTCCAGTCTCTTGGGGACCCTAGACCTTCAGTCTGTAACACACTTTTTGAGATTAAAAAAAATCTTACTTTTGAAACTTTTACAAACATATAAAACCGTGTGGACTTGTCTCTAGGGCCACTCCTATAGGACTTAAAGGTACCTCAAGTTTAAGTTTCTTGAAATCTGCCTTTGAATTTATCTCTGGGCACTGGGCTTCAGGACAAACATTCACAAACTTGACCACATCCACAGAAAATGGGAACCAATTTAGGATGGTGAAGGTTACTGTCTTGTATAAACAGTTAAGGGCAATGCAAAAATCGTGGGAAAGTGACCATTAAATGATTCACAAGTTTAGTACTTGGAGTCCTGTCAGGTGGAAGTATCTCAATTAATTATAAAGGAATACTTATGAATTGTAGACTAGTTTTCACAGGCAATTGACTAGCTTATGTGAAATACAGAGTTCTTTCTGGGAAAAAATGAGCACAGAAAAAGCTGAGACCCAGTGAGGGGGTCTAAGGACTGGGAGACGCACATTGGGTAGTGGTGGCATCAGGTTTTGGAGTACAACATGACAGACACTAAGCTTTACATGCCTCTGCAACTTTACAATTTTAGGATGATTTTGCTGTTTATTTTGTCACCTTAGTCACAATGGTTGAAATGTTGAAGGTTTAGGTATATGAGCCTGTTTTCTAAGTGTAAGAAAAAAATGCGTTGTTTTTTTAAACCTAGGGCAGCCACAGTGATCCACATACCTTTTCTCATTTTTTGCTTTTTAGTTTAAGACTAGGTTATGTAAAGTGGTTAACCAATGTGGAATGCCAAGGGTTGCAGGTGTAGGGTGGCTAGGTCTAAATTGTAGAAATAGATCATAATCAGGGATCGTCTGGGATCTTTATGATAGGAATTGATCACTATTCCTGTCAACAGAAACTGGATTTGGGCCTTTGGTAGGGTTCATCGGTGATGCCTGGGATGAGAGATCTAGGGCTTAAAGGAGTCAGGGCTCTTTTATAACTTGTGAAAGAACATAAATTAAACTGACTTGAAATTAAAAGGGAAAGGATTTGACATATTTGCCTCCTGAGAGGGTCAGATACCACCTTCTGTTCCTCAGCCTGACTTCCTTTAAAGTTGGCTCTTTAGCAAAATTCTAGGGGTCCTTCTTGTTGTCTGGCTGCTATCCCAGATTTAGTTATATTAGTTTAAAGAGTTTTTGTTGTTGTTGTTTTGTTTTCCTGAACGGACCCAAGGAAAGCCCCAGACTGAGTTTCTGGACTAGCATTTCCACCTCAGAACCAAGCACTGTGGTCTGGAATATGACGGCTGGCTGGCTTGTCTTGGGGCCTGCCAGTGGGAGGTGTCAGTATCCAGGATCCACAAAGACTCATTGTGGGTGAGGGGGGAAGGGTAGCTCCCATAAGAAATAGGAACCACTGTGACCAGAAAAGGAGGGTTGAGGAGATAGAAAACACTCAACACACATGCTTGAAAACCCCAAAAGTATGGATATCCATTATTTGGGGTGAAAAAATATTTTTAGACTTCCTAAATAAATATGGTTTAACTGCAAAATTGAGTAAATTTCTTCCAGGTCTGGATAGACACCATGCAGGAGGTGGGAGGAGCCTTACATTTCAGCATTAAAATGTTTTCTTTCTTGACAATGAGTCAAAGAAGATGCTACAGAAAACAGTATTCATTCAGCAAAATTTAATTTTTAGTGCCCCCTGTAAGCAGAGTGTGATTTCAATAATCCATTTGTCGTTCTGACCACACCCTATATAGGTGACATGTGTGCTTCCGTCTCGTTCTTACAGTTGGGGAAACCGAGGCATGACGCTCCCCCACCCAGCTTCATGGTGGGATCCGGGCACCGTCCTGCCTGCATGACCTCAGTGGGTCCCCTTCATCTGTTCAGGCGCCTCTAGGAATGCTCACGTCCTGCTCTGCCGCAGCCTCGGGACTGCTCCTCCGCCCAGCCGCACCCGCCCGCTCGGGAGCACCTTCCTCGGGGAGGTCCCGCAGGCTTCGGTCTGGCTGTCTCTCCCGGCTCTCCCCGGCTTTGGTTTCCCCCGGCCCCCGACGTGCGGGCGCCCCCAGCCCAGCGGCCCCAGCGCGGTGCGGGCAGATGCCGCCCCGGCGTGGAGCGAGCGCGGCGGAGGCGGCGCGGCTGGAGGTGAGCGGGCCTGC